GCCTTACTGTCAGGCTTTTGAGCCAAATGCTTTGGGTGAAGAACCTAATCATTATCCTGTCTAGGTATGGGCAGTATCCCAGCCCATTTACAATCATGGATTGTACACACAAATAAACTCATGCCATACAGGCCGTTGCGTAGTGCCATCAACCGGGTCGCCCTGCTGAATACAACAGCGCGGTAAGCGAAAACAGGCTACTCCTGATGCCTCCCTTCTTTGTATTTCACATACTTTTACTTCCACTCTTTCTGACACAATAGTAACTCTCTTCCTGTAGGCCAAGCACTGAGGACTGATAGCTCCGTTCGTCCTGCATCGGTTCTTTGCAATGCAATACTTCTGGACGTGTGACAATTAATGAGAAGCTCTCAAAGCCTCCGAAAGAAAGCGAGTTTTCGGTTGTGCAACGGGTACTGCCGTTGAAGAACGTGTTCAGCACCAGAAGCTGCGTTAGTTGGGCCATGTATTACCTATGTTGAACCATAGTTTGCCGAAGAGCGTGCTGTTTTGAGTGCTCAGTTTGGAGTGACGGAAGCAGAGTGGTGGCTAACCCTTGACCTGATAAGGAAGATATGAAGGAGATTTCGAAACGTTTGGGTGCCGTCGGTGCTACTTGGCTTCCAGGCTGGGAACCGCGTGATCCTCACTGCGCCTGTTTGGAGACGCTGCAAGATATGGCTTTCAACCGATGTCAGTGGCGATCTTGTCAGTTTCTCTCCAGATTGCCTGAATGAGTGTTTGTAGGGGTAGGCACCTCGGAATGATTGTAGTAAGCTGGCACTAAGCCTGTTCCACGTCTATCTTTATTCTTCTCCTCACAACGAGGCTTTCAAATAAATCATGGTTGTACGGCAGCGGAATATAATTGTTAAACGATAATGTCATGATGTCGATGCCAATGGTGATGAAAAAAGCCAACTTCTACTACCATTTTAACGCAACGAAAATGAAGGGGTAACAGTACGTCGTTCCGGTTTCTTGCATTATATCTTGAAGTCGTGATGTTAGTGTCTTGCAGCATCAACTTTGAAGTGGCCAATCATGGTGATATTATTTTAACGGTTTGCTGCAATGCAAAAGGACACCTGAAATGGTATTAGCACACTCGGAGGTGCGGTTATTGCCTCCCTACAATGCTGTAGCCTTGGAGCGCACCATTTTTTTCATCCATTTGATTCACCCTGACGCATTTGCAACTTCCTCAGGGCTTCCAAAACAAATGAGTAACCTATGTGCGAATCATCGGGGAATTTCTCCTGTAAATGTCACGGTCTTTGCTTCTATTTTTCTGGAATGCCTTCCGAAAATACGTAACACTCAAGTGCGATCTAACGAAGGTGGTTTACACCTTCGGAGAAATTATGTGAATCAAATATTCGCCTTGTGCACACTATGGCTCACCAAATTGCGAACTGCTTTTTTCGACCTTCACGCTAGCTTTATCCCACATGAGTCCTAGTGGCAGATTTTTAATGCTGCCTTCATATCCACAGGTCTGTTTAAAACTTCTTTCTCGAAATATAAAGTTCGTTTTCAAGTATATTAATGAATCCTTGACTTTGATGTCGCGTGCGATATGGGACGATGACTCCAATCTGGTTCCTGCATTACTTTGATTCATAATTGACCGATTGATACGACTGTCTCCACTGGGCTACTCTGGTACTCAGTCGATCACAGACACTTGGACTGCGGATCTCGAATATGCTGGAGATATTGTACTGTCCCTCCAAAGCAAAGGAGATCGACTAACCATTACTCGGATCTCCAATTATACATAGCTTGTCGAACTTTCAAGTTAGAACACTATGACAGAATAATTACCCTCGCAAGTACATGTTTAATGGGAAAACCTCTGCACAAGAGACGCTACAGTCAAATGCTTAACGGCATCATCATACCCAACAAGAACGCTAGAGAAAGGCTTTGTTTTTTTGGTGATGCAAGAGACGCAGCTGTAAACTCCGTCCCCAACCACTATCATTGTAGCCGATTCACTTTGCATTTTCTGGATTTTCCACAGAGTGTAGTTAGGGAAGCACTGCTGTGTGTTGCGCTTGGAATCGTCCTGGCTTTTGAGGCTTCTAATGTGCACTACTGCATGCTAGAATTTCAGCTATGTGAATTCATTTCGCGTACCTTTCCCCGTAAGAACAAAAATGCAGTTGGGATTTATCCTCAACTCGTCAGTTGGACAACCAGTCAAATAAAGAAGCATTCTTCTGTGGCGATGAACACCATATTCAGTACCGCGGTGGCTGCAGTACGCAGGTTGTAAGGGTGATTATTTTAGCTTCGGGTGTATAAGATCGTGGAATTTTCCATCAACGAACTATCTTCGATCTACGATGAACCTGACTACAGCTCACTTCCCGATGTGCTACACAAACCTTGTTTCAGAACCAAAAACGTTGAGAAAAAGCCTTTCACCAGGGAAGTATTCTTGAGGTTCAGAGGAAACCACGGAATTTCGTGTCGTTTTACTTTCTATATAAATATCCAGCTTTCTGACCGAAGCCCCAATAGACGGATTTCAGTGTTGATCTTACTCAGTAAAGATATCCTAGCTAGTGCATTACAACCGAGTACGCAATATACGTTGGCAACATCATGGGGAAAATCTTCATTTGACGTTAAGGTTCGAATGTACTCACCAGAATATTTTTTGTCCGAACCCAATCCTGGCATCTAGACCTCTTCTGTCTAGGTTCGGGCAGTCTGTCGACATCTCAGCCATCGTGCTTCCTTTGGGTGGCATGGCAGGCAATGAATGGATATCTATAGAGGAAAATTTTGGTAGCTCAGCACATCATATGCGTTATTGTGGAGCCCAAGAAGGCGTAGCGGTGGGTTGGGGTTGTGCCACCACAGGGCCCTTACATGCCTAAATACTAGCGAATACTAACAGGATGGTCAGATGCGTAGTTCGGAACTTCCCCCGTGTCAGTTGACCTCTTGTACACTGCGGTCTCTAGTTTTCCCCCACCTTATGTGTCATGCAGTCAGTCTAAACAGGCCAGTGTATCAGAGGTTGACTCTATATCCATACTCAGTTCACTCAGGTAGTTGTAAAGCTCGCTGACCTTGTCTCGTTTCGTCACGACGACGGTATCATCTATATAACGCCAAAGTACCTTGAGTGGGTAAAGGAACCCGGCTAAAACTTTTTGTTCAATTTCTTCCACCAATATGTTTGCCAAAACCAGGGATACTGGAGATCCCAGTGTTGTATTTTGTTCTTGGGTGAGAACCATAGAGTAAAAACGAAGTGAATGAGATTCACGCATACTTTTATGCCTTCCACTATTTCATTTACAGTAAGCTATGTCCGTTCTGATAAGGTGGTGTCTGCTGGTAGCAGTGGCTTGGCTATTTCTAAAGTGTTTCCTTTTGGTGTATTTGTATTTAACGGATTGACACCGCAACTAACAAGAATGATATCTGGTTCAACGGTGACGCCCGCTACTTTGTTAGCAAAGTCATGTGAATTGCAGATGTAAGTACGTTGCCGAACTAAAAACTACGGATTGTTTATCGGGCCCTTCTTGAAAAGAACAATAGCCAGTTGGTGCAAAATTTGGACTATTCATGTCCATCCATGCATACATTTTGTCTGTTGTCAACTGTTGTAATATTTGGTACCATGTGTTTCTCCCAAATCGAGACTAGCTATCACTCATATGCTACGGTAGTGTAGAAGCCGAGTTGTCTCGCCTTCACACAGCAATGCAATTAGTTTTTCTGGGGGAGTATTTTTCAGAAGGAGCTATGACTTGGGAGACGAATAACAGTTCGGATATGAATTCACTTATGCTGCTGTCCTGTTGGCCTAGCCCATATCCGTCCAGATTTGAGAGCTTGACCGCTTCATTGTAAGGTAAGTAATATGCTCATAATTGAGGGTTGCAGTTGTCCAACAACAACGAAGTTGCTGCTTCGCACGATGCCTTGCATTGGGAATGACACTGTATCAGGCTGACATTCGCTTTTCACCAATCGGTCCGCCATACTCAGGTTAAACTTAGTTGTAACCATCAACATTGCTATACTAAGGTCAGTGGTAAGCGACTCGAAATTGTTATCGGTGCCTGAACACGGGGAATTGTTTCGCATAAATGTATTGCTGGTACGTGACTCAACACTTTCATTTGATCGTTCGCTGTCGACTCACAAAAATTTGCACGTTTTGAGATGGCAACACTTGCAGGCATTTACCGTCACGTAAGCACAGTTCCTGAGTTTCAGTCTTATTTCTTGCATCAACTTATGCCTATGCTGAGTGAATCATCAAATCGCCAAAAGATGGGCCCTGAGCAGGACTAAGCACACATTTGACTGTCGGTACGATATTCTGTCACAAAGGATGAATACTTTGCTTATCTTGAGTATCGGCCCATTGTAATCCTCCGGAGGTTCTTGTGCTGCATTTAAAGGCTGGAGTTGTCATGTAAGCTTGCGGATTTTTGTTGGGGACTTGGTCATGTGTTTCAGTTGGCCCAATGAGTCCGGAGTACAAATTTCAATTTTCAATTCAAGACGAAAATTGCTCATGGAATTGAATGTGTGAACCGAGCAATAGGCGTCATCAACCAACTTCACGACATTTCTATAAGCTAGGGTAAGTAACCACAATGAGATGACTGTGGGCACACCACTAAGGAAGACGGGTTAAACTATTCGTAGCCACATGCCACACGAACAACCTCAATGCGTTGATAATTAAGGTCCATTTCTTTGTCTATAAAGAGGTGCTTACTTTTGGCTTTGGAATTTGTACATATTTTCCATTAGTCATTATGTTTTATGTTATTCTGCATTGGTTTTGTACTGCTTGCGTGTTCACAAGGATTCAGGAATTTTCGGGTGTCAGATCTATTTTGCACTCCGTCATAGACATCAATCATATCAACAATCATTCCGGACTGTGATAGTTTTTGTTAACTTTTCTCTGCAGCGTTTAATCATTGTTCCTTGTTATTTTTTGGCAATAACGTTAGGATGCACCTGAATCATCTCCTTCGAATACCGGATTGCGGTCGATGTCGGATTCGAATTTTTACTCACAGCCTAGGAGCATAGACGGATCTTTGGTCCTGGATGGGAAAGTGGCTCCTTTGTATACGTCTGAAATGGAAAGGCTCGCAAATGATGTCAACGGCCCCAGCCAAATTAATACTACGGTCAAAGCATCAGAGGATAAACCCAAGAAAGGTAATTTTTGTGCGTATGGTTACCATGTTAATTTTTCTGCTTGTGTCGAATTATGCTTTTTTATCAGGCCACTTATATACATTTTGAAAAACCATTGGCTTGAGATATTTTCTGCTTGATCGGCACAAATTCAAAATGAATTAAATATTCACTTTTGGAGCTGTTCCCTTAATTTTGGGTTATTGTAAAACCCCAGCGGAGTAATTACCAGGCTAATATTCAAACTCTGAATCGGATCACAAAAGTTTACAACCGATGGTATTTTGGTAGACAAACACAGCTATTAAATTCCGAGTAAATTAATAGGAGAAAGTCTTAAATTTGGTCTTCCCACTGATACCAGCAACTCTGTTTCTTGAGAATACTTAGCGATCCAAGACGATTTCGAAGCCTTGAATCCATCTGCGACACAGAAACGAGGCAATTTCAATTCAATTCAATTTATCAACTATAAGCCATGTACCAGGGATACATGTTTTCAGCTGCTACCGTTTTGATCACCGGAAAGTGGGAGAAGATGGGGCGTACAGTCAAGCGTTGGAGGTGACGGCATGTTCATTTAGTTCGGGAATGGGGTGGCTGCGTGTTGAAGGAGATAGCTTTGATGCACGAACACCACTGACTGCGTGATTGGATCATTTCTGCTAGTGTCATTAGCCACTGATGAGTTGAGTCTCTGAACATTTGGCGTACGTCAGCATTGCTACTACGATGTTCCCACCACACCAGACCAATGCTTCGGCAAAACCGATGGTCAAGCACATATCTTTCGTATGTCCTCTTTGCGTACAACCACGTTTCTGATCCATAAAGTATTATGGATCGCACTATCTTAGTATAAATCCTGCCCTTGACAGACAAACTCACGCCATGCCGGCGCCGGTTGGCAAAAGCTGCCGTAGCCCTCCCGATTCGAGAAGTAATTTCATCTCCAGCCAGTCCACCAAATTTATCTACCACATCTATTGGCTCGTCTGCAAGCATGAGGTTTGAGTTTGATCCCAACCAGTCTTGTAGCAACACTTTGTACTTTGCAGGTGTGAAGTGCATACCAAACCGTTCGACAGAATCGTTTAGGTTATTTAAAATCGTTTGCGCTTTTGACGGGTCTGAACCAAGGACAGCATTGCCGTCCGCATACTCTATCTGTGAGCGAATGCTCCGTGAGCATTTTGAAACAGACAGAAATCTCAAGCAGCACTTCAAGGACAAAGTTGGAGGGGAAAGGTTAGAGGGGGTAGCCTTGTCTTACACCACTGGACTTTGTGAAGTCTGACGGAAGCTTGCCCGTATCCGTCCACAGGGGTTCCCACACACTACACACACTTACATTCCTTTGTAAGGGATATAAACTTGGAAGGGATACCGTTGATCACCAGGTGCTGTCAAACTATATGACGATCGACATAATCAGGAGCAGATTTCAGATCAAGAAAAACGATCCACGTGGGACGTTAGAAAGGGTGGCGCTGTTCAGGAACTTGTCTCGAGGTACATATATGGTCGAGGTATCTTCGGTTTGGGTGAAATCCAGATTGATCTTCGTGAATCCGCCTCTCCCGATAATAGATCAACGTCTGCAAGGTAATATTACAGAACGCCTTGAATGCAATTTCTACCATCCTGATGTCACGATGGTTTTGGCAGGACGTTCTTGCGCCCTTTTTGGAGACCGGGATGAAGGTCGAGGAGTTGCATCCCGTCAGTATTCTGCTTACGTTCGAAATTTTCTGCAATGTAGTTGTCAAATTGTCCAACAGGACCTCACCATTTTTCAAGAGTGTCGGACCAGGTGCCTTGTCTTGCTGAGGGAATGATATCTCACGCTGGATTTGTGCTGCTTCTGCTAAGCTGGTATCGACGTTCCTTTCGGACCTGCTGGGTTCTTCTAGAGATTGTGTTAATGGAGACCAGCTGAACTGCCCTTTGAAGTGTTCAATCCGTCGTTCAAGACAATGGTTTTGTGACTGAATTACTGTTCAGTCTAGTTCACATATCGTTTCGCTGATACTTGCGCATTCATATCACCCACCATCATTATTATATCCGTCCTTCTTGACTGAAGCAGTCGCGAAAGACCTCGATAAAACCTGTCCTTCACAGTCTCAGAATTGTAGTCTTCCGGGGCGTATGCTAGTACGACGAATAAGCACCGTTTACTGCATTGACCTGTATTGGTCTTAACTGAGGCAAACAACCTCACGATTCAAAGACGACTGTGAAGGCTTTCAGCCTTTGGGCTGAGCAACCTTCCTACCATATGTACCAGGAGCCATTGCGTCAGAATCGCCAGATACCTGAAGAGTGAAATGGGGAACACTTGAGCTCGTCGCAAGTGGCTTGAGGTGCACGGCTGAGGTGGAGTCTTGTATCCGTGTTTAGGTGTCAGTGTACTTTGACAGAGAGGAGAAGCAAGGTTTCAGAAAAAAATGCCTGTTGGCCATTGAATTACAGTACGGACATTGAAGGTTTCAATATGAGTCAGATCGTTTTAGCTTCAGTAATGGATTATTTTGATTTAATTTTGTGGGCGCTGGTTTACACACGGAACAATGGCTAGGGGACTAGCAGATGCATTGATCACACTGCATCATTCGATGGGCGGGAAGGCTGTGGGGGGGGGAGAGCTGGTGAGTGAAGAGCTGCAAGGGCGAATGATACTTCCCGGTCGCCTAAGCGGATGACAGAGGTTTGGTTGAGGCATCCCAACTTGAGCCAATGACTCAAAAGTCTAACCAGCGAGGCAGTGGAATGATGTAGAGTTTTATTTTTGATGTAGGGTTCTGTAGGGTTTTGTTCATGGACCCCACCCCTGGAGTCTGACTTAAAAGTCGAACATGAGGCGTCCGTTTTAATGATCTCCATGGGGGACCTTTCCCGCAGCCAATGACTCAATAGTCTGACCCACTTGGCTGCAGGGGGCTGGCCTGGCCTGAAGATGCAGGGATTAAAACATTACTATCTCACTTGTAATCCGGCTACACACAGCAGGCGCCTGTTGAACAGCATTAGACCTTTTGGTTTCAAAAGTATTTCGATTGTAGTGAATAGGGCACTGGCGCTCACGGTCAACGGATTTGCGATTAAAGTATATAGCTCTTAGAGCCGACTTTTTCTAACCCGTCCTTCCTCTGGGGAAGGCAGCATCGCCGCTTCCATAAATATGGATATGCTAGTCACCCGGAGAGAACACCTTACGTCTTCACATTTGTATCACACAGGGCCTCAATAGTCCCACTTGGCTGCAGTGGGCTGGCCTGGCCTGAAGATGCAGGGATTAAAACATTACTATCTCACTTGTAATCCGGCTACACACAGCAGGCGCCTGTTGAACAGCATTAGACCCTTTGGTTTCAAAAGTATTTCGATTGTAGTGAATAGGGCACTGGCGCTCACGGTCAACGGATTTGCGATTAAAGTATATAGCTCTTAGAGCCGACTTTTTCTAACCCGTCCTTCCTCTGGGGAAGGCAGCATCGCCGCTTCCATAAATATGGATATGCTAGTCACCCGGAGAGAACACCTTACGTCTTCACATTTGTATCACACAGGGCGGTACTAAATTACTTCCAGGCCGCCCCGTAACGAAATTTTTCAGTGGACTCGCTTTTCTTCGTCAGGTTTTTCATCGTTTGCCTTTCTGATATCGTTGAACCTTAGGTAACTGAGTTAAAGTCAATGAAGCCCACAGGACAGTTGCGGCACAGAAGCCCGACAATCACGGCAAGGTGATAGCTTTAGGTCGGGAAAGGAGAGTCAACATCCAACTAATAATAACCTCCAACTGTGTCAAGCGGTTGTTGGCGAATGGCTTTTGAATTATGTGGTGACATTCGATAAGTCACCTTGAACGGTCGCATTTGGTAGCTAGTGGTGGTCACAATGGTCACCTCTCTGGCCAGTCTACTAAGGCAACTTAACTGTTTACAAATTTCATCAACTAGACCTCGAGTAATGTGACTCACGCGATGAGCTTGACACTGGCCAATGAACGAATAATTGCCCCTTGGTAAATCATGGACCTCAGATCTAATCCAAAGCTCAAATGCGTCGAACTAAAAACCAGCCTTAAGGGCATGGTGAGTCTACGGGTCAGTACTTCTCAAGCCAAGTCGTTTCCGAAATGGCGGAGGGGGTTTTTAGCCACTGAAACACCTCCAATATGTTCAAACCCACTGTGTTAATAAATTCAGTCCGTTTCGCAACAGAATTTCGCGGACATGCTGCGGTATGGCACCAAAACTATTGCTGGTACGAATTTTACGATCTTTGTAGGCCAGATATTTGATGAGTTTTCTTCTTTTTTTGCATCCTGTCGCGGCATTTAGCGTACTGATCCGGTTTCGTGTATCTACATTCACCTTGGCTGATTGATCGGTCTCACCTTAGATACACTGTGAAACCGGCTGAATTGTGAGCTGAGCCTGAGGAGAATATATCGTGTCGAATTCGGACGTGCTAAAAATAGCATCCACATTACGTTCACAAAAAGGTTGTAGGTCAGTCAGTGGTCTCAGAATAGTGCGGTGAGGTTCACAAAAAACAACTAACGTCGGATCGCGCGACATTCCAACCACCATTTTTATCCCTATGGCAATGATTGATGCCGTTGAATTCATACTGAATGTTACAGTTGCATGGTGAAAGTGTCTATTCGAAGGTGACAGGTGAAAAGTGGAATCTAATATTGGAGTTACTTAAATGTTTAAAGTAAATGCATTTTAACAAACGGAGATGATAACATGCCGATTTTGAATGAACCCCATGAGCCCAGTATTTTGTAGACTGTGGATGCACAGTTGTTTACCTATAGAACAAAAGTTGATGAGCGTTGGTTTATAGCAACTGATCGGTCAATGCAATTGCAGTCATTAGGACAGCCCAGAAGATGAACAACGGACGATTACGGGACTATTAGACGATTGTACTGATGACAGTTGTCCAGCACATTCTGACTAGTATCCCATTGAGCTGATGCGGGTACATGACAAAGTCTGGTTTCTCTGTTTGGAAGTCTGTTCCTTTCTAATCGCATTGGTCTTGGTGTTCCGGTGGCATCTGTAATAATACGGGATATGTTTAACGAAATGTTTATGTCAATTTTCTATATGGCTAAACCTATATGCTATTTTGGTGACATACGAATAGCAGTTTCCGCCATGAACCAAAGAGTAAGAGCAGAGTAGCGGAAAATTCACTTGCATTGGTGTTCCATACGGGGTCTTGAGTTACTCTATGTGAACTTATAAGAAAACATTTTACTAATTAGGAATTGTTCAAGCCGCATAGCATAAGTGCAGCAGATTAGGGTGTAGCTTATTCGTGAGTTATCGTTGTGCATGGCCATGTTTGTTAAGTATGGGTGCGAAGGTAGCAGAATCTACAGTCGTGGTTTCGGACAAAGACAGGATTGTGAATCAGTTCCCTAAAATGTAGCGGAACTAATTTGGCTCCGCGTGGGATAACTTACTCATATTTAGGTCGAGACATGTTGCCTGGTTTGTAAGTATTCATATGCGACGCACTGCTTTGATCGGATGGCACACGCTGACCGTCGACTGGACTGACCAAGAACGGCAACCATAAGAGGGCCGATACTGCTGAGTGTCGTGATCCTGCACTCCTCGTGCATCCAATTTTATATATTATACCATTGACGCTATTCATTTGGTTCTTATGTAGAGGACACTTAGCCGGTTAAATGGAGGTAAACTTGCGTTAGCCTTGAAGACCTCCCTTGATAGCGACCATGACAGGTATAAAACAGAACCAGCTAAAAGCCCAGTCGCTTTGTGGGGTTTCCACTGTATGTAGGAAATAAATGAAGGTAGTGTTCACCCCTGTATTCTACCCTTAATGAAGTTACTCGTGGCTACGCAGCACAAATACATAACACGTCTGTTAGTCACTAAGCTTAGCTATCATGTTCGGATTGAATTTTTGAAACTTCAGTGAATTTGTTATCAACACTTCTGCGACTATCACTGTTGATACATATCCAAATTCGTTTTTGCTTCGAACATCATCCCATTTTATTTTGGATCCAGTCCCTGAAGTCGTCTTATTCTCCACATCACATTTTAGTAAAACAACGTGGTTCGATGAATATGCGGGCAGTCTTTCTACACGTCCTTTCGGACTTCTTTGGCTCGATAATCGTGGTAGCCAGTGCCGCAATTTTAGAATTTGCTCCAGGAAAGCCGGATGAGGGGGCTGCGTGGAAGCTATATGTTGACCCCGCAATGAGGTTAGTTTCCAATATGATGGGTTGACCTCATGCCTAGCGATTTACTCACATGAAGTTTCCTGTACTTGGCTCCATTCATAACTAGATGAACAATACTAGACCTTACCGCAGACTTAAGCGCAGATCCTCTTTTGCGCGAAAGGTTCCTCGTCTTTCTGACGTATTCAGCATGTCTCCGCAACGTTATTGTTGATGAACCAAATTATCTTAATGCCTAGATCGACAGGGGGTCTTCCATATTCCTGGAACTAGTGGTAGCACTAAATGTTACATTTATCTCTTGTGTCGCTTTATGTTTATTGCAGTCGTTTTGTCTTCCCTAAAAAACATTTTTGGAATCAGGCTCAAAACCTCTTCATAGCTTCTTTATAAAATATACTGAGTTTGACGAGTTCCTTTCTCTGCGTCTCTGGATTTGTTCCACGTGGCCCATGCCTAACCGAATGGCAGTGCAGTGTAATTTTTTTTCACACCACTTTGTCTTTATGAGTCAAGCTGTTTAGTCCAGTGTATACATTTTGTGAAGCTGTAACATCGTCCCTGACATTGGAATTGAAGGAGTTCTACGCGTAAGGGTGTGATTAACGCTGCGTTCCATTGGTAATTAGGATGGCTTTGTGTTGGTAAAATGAAAGGATGGAGATTCGACACCTGCAAGGTTAACTACCAACCCTTTAAGATGTGTCGTTTATGAAGGTCCCCCTTTGAATTCGGAACTATTCACTTGCCCTTGTAGAATTTATTTTGTTTCTTGGTACTGTGTCTCGATCTAAGGTTGCCACCTTATCGTGGTGGTCGGGCTTCTCTGCTGTAAAGACCCTGGGCGAAACATTGGTTGAAACTGAGTTCCTAAAGCTTCAACCATATCAGAAACGACAATAGGGGGGGGGGCGTAGCAGAATGAATGGTGCATTCAAGTACAGTATTACGAGGCGGTCTGGAGGTAAAGTTGTACTGTTGTGTGTGACAGAAGTATGCGGACAGTAATGTGTTTCCCGCAGGTGACTGGTATTTTCATACTTATCAAGGGCGTGATGCTATTATCGGGGAAGGACAGGTTATAAAAGTTCATTTCTGAAAACCGCGCATTCCGATAGGCTGTAACCGTCAGCGAATTATTCACTGCGATCGAAATCAAAAGTCTGGTTCTGCTCACATAGAAAGTGCCCTGTGCACAGTGGCATTGGAGGTTAGAGTTCCATGCAGCTAATTTTCTAAGGATACCACGGCAATTTTTGTGTACAAGAAGAAGGAAAGTTGTTGGAAGACGGACAAATATTGTGGAATCCTCATTCTATGCACAGCAAACGGGAGAGTGACTAGTATCTTGCTCAAAGGACTAATCGAGCACATTTTCTAGGGCAGCGTTCCTGAAAGACAGTGTTGATTTCTGAGCGGTTGAATTACGGTTGACTTAATCTTAGCGAATACAGAAGAGATGTCATGGACACAGTCAGTCCCTCGATGAACGTTTGGCGATGCTGCCAATCACCAATTAACCTCTGTGCATCACGAAATATTATGAACTTATTCGGAGTGGATACCGGAGTGAAGCAGGTCTGTGTAAATGACTCAGCCTCTTTTTGATAACCATCTACTGTACTATAGCGAGCCTTGGACGTTTTACAGATAAGTATATTATCTCTTATGAAGTCAGTGGACGTCTTCGAAAACCCGAAAAATGTTTCTTATTATTTACAGGATCATATTTGTATGGTACTTTCAGGTTATGATACTGTGTAATTGTCTGACGTGGTCTCTAAGAGTGGAGGGTTTTAGCCTTCATATCTCCAACCGAATATACATGAACTCCAGTCTTTGGTCTGGCATCGGTGAAATTGCCACGAGTTAATTGCAGAATGTGCGTTCGGTTGGTAATTCAAGTGAAGGAAAGTTTGATAGAGCGGGTTTTATAAAGAATCCTCGGCTTGTTCGTTTGGCCGGTCAGCTGTTTCGTCTTCAGGTGACTTGCCATATTTAGCACACGTTTCGGGGACAGGGATGTACTTCATTGAGTTCATATACGGTCGGCTTACCCGGAGTGACTGACTTGTCATTTCGGTCTGGCTGGTTGACTCCCCGTTCCTTACTGGTGATTTAGATTCTTGAATTTTTCCGCTTTGACTGTCGTATGCATATCTTCGCCGAAGGTCCTATCTCTTGGCATGTTGATCTGAGTCCATATTACGGTTGATTATCCCGTTTGAGCGGCTAATCATGTACTGGTCATAATACCTAAATTGCGTCGATTTTCATTGATTTCGGACGATGTTGCAGGACGCGATGCTTTAGGTACTTCATTGTATTTATCGTATTTCTAGCACGATTGCGTTCATCCATCGGATTTTGTACTGCCTACTCTTTGTCTGTGACAATCAGCAATAGCGGATGATGTTTTGGGATGGTCACAACATGTTTCTTACATGTTTTATCCACATAAACATTTCTCGTGCTCGTTGCACTATCGTCCATGTTACTGTTTCTCGTGATTCGGTCTTGAAATCACCTCCTCATGAATGATGGTTGCGTCGTGGGCCAAGGAGACATCTTTTAGTTGTTGTAGTCTCGCTGTAAGTCAGGATTTATTGTTGGTGGATTGCAGATCGGTCACTAGGCCAGCGCGGATGTTACTGACCCATCAGACAAACGACGAGGTACATCGTTGCCAGGATAAACCTATAGTTCAGTTATGGTGTTCCCTTCCGCAGGATTGAACTCCGCCCATGATGACTTATCCCATGATGGGATGAATTTTTGTGGAATTTTGAAATTTTATTGAGAATCCTCATAGCACACGCTTTTCTTACACATAAAGTCCCTGCACTGCCTTTATGCACTAGCTTGATACTGCTGTAGGTTTTCCGCATTGTTAAATCTTTCAGCTGACTTCCTCTCACTGTCACGAAAGTTGACACCTCTGAACCCACAGCTGACTAATAGCCGCACACACTCAGAAACACGAGCCATTGATGGGTGTGTGAGTGAGGCTTCGGCTTAGTGCGCCGTACACACAGACTGCTTTACTCTGGTAGAGTTGAACCACTCCATGATCATCATAGACGGCATAATATCAGTGTTCAACACTGATCTTTCGCTACCGTACAGCCATGACTTATTTGAAAGCTTTATTTTCAAGAAAGGAATAAAAGTTGAGCCAACCGTTGTTTAAATGAAGAACTTTGACACCTGTGCAAATGTTTTTTACGGCTATTTGGTAGTTTCGGTGTTTTTTTGTGTATGTAGTACAGGTCAACTTGCTGCGTCTCCGGCCGTTCAAGAGGAAACGACAGATTACTCACCAGTGTAAAGCAAGCACATATGGTTTCTGAAATTTGAATTCCTATGCAGTAACAGCATATGGTCATGTTGCTTGTAATGCAGCTGGACCGTTGAAACTTTAAAATTCAGCTGTTTTTTGTTAATTTGACTATCCTACCCATGTAAAGGTCAGGCGGCCTTGGCACAACACATTTAGTAGGAGATCCAACCGAACTTCGTTTTAAAATCGCCCGTAGTTTCGGTTTTTGTAGTAGTACAGGTCAACTTGCCGCGTCTCCGGCCGTTCAAGAGGAAACGACAGATTACTCACCAGTGTAAAGCAAGCACATATGGTTTCTGAAATTTGAATTCCTATGCAGTAACAGCATATGGTCATGTTGCTTGTAATGCAGCTGGACCGTTGAAACTTTAAAATTCAGCTGTTTTTTGTTAATTTGACTATCCTACCCATGTAAAGGTCAGGCGGCCTTGGCACAACACATTTAGTAGGAGATCCAACCGAACTTCGTTTTAAAATCGCCCGAATCTGCAACTAGGTTTATAGCTCCACAATTAAACATCTGGTTACTGTCAAACAGCCAATTCTTGAGGGATACACTATCAAGGTCATCAGATCACTCAAGGGCAAAGTAGGCGGTGCAATACCAACCAACGGAAACAGCTGGAAAGTCGAAAACTATCAGTATAATGATGTATCCATTGGTGAAGCATGCGAGTTGTGTCTGGTCCGGTGTCCAAGCTCCGGCCCTGTAAGGGAAATTATCGTTAAGCGATACCGCCGAATGTTTCTTGTTTGTTTCCATTCAGTGCTACACTGATCCTTACTCTGTTTTTATGTGAACACTATGAACTACAGTTTGTTTTGTTCGTTTATTTTCTTTACTGTTCGTTGTTTCTCTGGCCTGTTTGATTAGTTGTCATCGTGCTCATGAACTGCACTTTTGTTTGTCAGCCCTTTACGAAGCTTATCTGAACTCATGTTCTGGATTGTTTGTTTTTACTTGTATTTCACTACATCGCTCTGACAACGGCTTGCTTGCTGTTCAGTCAACGAAAACGTATGGTCCACAGTTCAATGTGTCCATTTTCACTTTGGTAACGTTGAATGTTTAGCTTCCTATATTCTGGTGTGCAAAAGGTCCCCCACTTGCAAACGGCTTTCTAAGCAACTGTTGATTCGTGATCAAAGTCCAACCAGGCACATTGTTGTCCGTACACAGTAACAAGTTAGTCGGAAGCCTGCCTTTTTCAGCAGGCTAGAAGTTATCTGCGAAATCAGGTGGAACAATTGCCTTGACTGAGAGGCAACTTTGGTGACACGTGTTTTTCTTCACTGCTATCCTCACTCAGTGAAACAAACCATTAACGAGACGCACTCTCGTTCAAAATGGATGATTTACTCTCGATGGAAAATTTCTTAATGCTGATGTCGTTCGCCGTTGGTCTACGGACTCGCTAAAACGTTGATTTCAGCAACTTTGATAAATTATCTCACGCATTCGGTAGTTACAGCCTGGGTACAGCCTGAGTGACTTGTTGGATATTTATATTGTGATAAATTAGTCGTAATACTGGTTACACTTAATTAGGCTAGAATGACGGATGTAGGAAGGTGTGTGACCTCAAATTTATCAACTTCCCAAATAAGGTGATTTTTTTGTGACATTAGAATGTGTTGCTCCTTCCTTCAACACGTAATGCTTTTCAGGATCACTCATTTCTTTGTCCTCTTGTGAAGATGTCTTACTCGAGCCCCTTTCCGAAAGTGGTTCGTGTGAATATCGTCTCCATCGATGCATGGACATGTACAAAAATTGACACTGAACATCCTCTCAACCTCAAATTTAAGGTTCCTTTCACCTCTTCGATATCACTTGGCATCCATCTTGTCCGTATTTTCACCCACGAGTGGACATGCTTTGATATCCTGGACATTGGGTCAACCTTTTAGTCTTAGACCTGCACATTCGTTTGAAAAGCATCACAAACGGCGGTTTAGTTTCAATCTCGAATAGATCTCTCGCTCACACCGATTAGTACTAGGCGTCATTGATTGTCTTAATGGGTCACAAGTATGTTACCTGAGTGGGTGAGATGGCCCAAGTGGTTAGAGCGCTTGGGCGACCTGGCAGTATCCCAGCCCTTGTGCAACCTTCGAGTGGTATGGCAGTTAGGCACCGATAGCGTGCTAAGGCTGATCGATGTAACCTAAGCTGAAAAATGAATACTCTTTGCACCAACTGAAGTGACCCATGAATTCTGCTAGCCGGTACTATAAGAACCAAAAACCTCTTTCCCATGAATACAGTACTTAGTTCATGCAGGCTCCTAATCGGTGGTTTGAGTCTTGAACGCAAGTGTGGGTGGGGAATACAGAATCGCTACCTATGGCGAAGGTGACGCTTAACGTATAATCTGGTCAAGTAACCTCCTGGCAATTGAACGCACTCCGGAACCTGGACTCTACATGAACATGGCGACGAGACCACTCCACGCAATCACTCGCCTTAACGAGAGCCAAATGAATACTTACGATGCTTCCTTTTCGAAGCGAAGAAGCCTTCATTGTCCGTGAACTACTGATCAAATAATACTTGGTAGAAGAACAGCGTGAGGGGTTTTCGCCTATTACTTAAGATCATTGACAAACAGGAGCATGTTTCTGCTTTGTTCTGTAGGTTGCACACCGTTTTGTGTGGACAGTGGTAAGCCCTCAAGTTGTTGCGATCGGAAAACATGACTTTTCAATACTGATAACACATCTCTTATTCGGGATGTATACTCCTCGTTAGACACTCTTTGTTGCCTTCTGGAAGGTTCTTGCTTATTGGTTGTAGACATTTTTTGATTCACCAAAGTCACTTCCCCATGGTTATTTCGTGTTGGAATGTTGGTTATTTAGGGAACTACTTTCCATCTCCCGTGCCGTATATCACCCGTTCATTATTTTGCCGTCGAGGACATTGCTCGTGCTTCAGCTTTCTCGCTCTCTGTTAAATTGCCTCACAATGATATTTTTTTACCCATTATTGTTTAGTCGCGACTTTCGCGCACATCAACGTGTCTAGTCACGGCTTCGAATGGGTTATAGCTTGCCATTCGTTATTCCCATGACCCCATTTGAGTATTTGGGTTAAATCTCCTTCATGGACATAGCCTCCAATTCATCCGGTTAGTTTTTGTGAAACGGAAAAATTGATGAAGACAGTATGTGACGAATAGTCAATAATTTTGAATCTGTTCGGACAAACCTTACATCCGACATTCATTGGTGTATTTCGGTGCCCATCTGCGTGTCGCTGGATTGGCCAGATAAAATTGGAAGGATTTGACTATTTGGTTTTTACTGTTAACGCTAACTGTTAGCGTGGATTAAGCGAGGACTGGATTGCCAGTCTTGAGAAGTCGTTTTTCAGTCTCCCACAGACAAGTGTCCTCATACCTAAGACAAACCTGTAGTAAGTACAAAATGTGAAACGATACATCAGGCGAAACTTACTGTGGATAATTCAGCTTACTCCTCGTCGTTGAGATGAGTGAGTTCAAAAAAACGAATATTACCCCGATAAGCCTATAGACAATGTCGTTCGGATTAACCCTTTAAGTGAAACCAATCAGTTGTTGGTTAGTCGTTTCAGGTGAGTGACAGTGCAAATCCACTGTAATACTAATTTATCAGCTGATTAGTTGTAATCGAATTCTCCGATCGGTGGTTTCCATGTTTACTTCCAAATTTGCCCGTTAAGTCAGACCACGAGTTTGGACGTGCTTTGATTCTGTCCGATACGAATAAGAAGTAGATAGCGGCGACCCAAGATTGGAATGGCTGGACAGGAGCTGTCACCGTTTTTGCGGGGCGAAACATATGTTCTATATTTATGTTGAAGCTGTATAAGCAACGAGTCATTTCCCTACCAGCGCCAGGTACGGGTGAATCGGAGCTGAGGACAGTGCTGGGCGTCAGTGTGCCCATCAAAATAGTGCCCAGATCCGCTTGGTTTGTCACATCGGTTATTCTACTACCAATTTTTCTATAATGACACGGGGTGTGCTCAGTGTAAGGCAGCCACAGAAAACGGTCCGAGTAGGTTGTGGGTAGATGGTGTCTCTAGTGGAAAAACCATTTTGACCAACCTTAATCAGATTATCTTGGGATGGTGAATGCAATGAAGTCCAAGAGTTATAAACATTACTGTCACTTTAACTGTACAAATCCCCATTCAAACGCCATTTTATATCGTCCCTACAAGTAGTACTATAGCAAAACCGCTCCACTGAAAAGAGCGCCACTGTGCGGCACCACGCATTAGTTTTATTTATAGCTAGTGTTTGTGAATATCTGTACAAGCTCAGCATCATTTGAAAATTTACCGGATATCTCCATGTCTGTTTGCACCACAGTAAGACTTGATTCTGCTGGACCTACATTACTACATCGCTCATTTGTAATTGTTTATATCATTCCGAACCGCCACGTAGATATCTACCACACTTGTATGCACTGGAATTAATTCTTTGCAACCCGTTCGAGGACATCAACCTAATCTGACATTCATACAGGGGTTTCATGCAATCTGATGAACTTTACGATTTTGCTGCGATTCTTGTTCCATTTCATGGCATCCCAACGTCCACAGTTTCTATGATGCTTTTCATGAATGGTATTCGGTGTTATTGACTACCTTTCTATACGCCATTTATGCAAGATTTATGTGAAAATAATTTTTCGTGGTTCCAAACTCTTCAAGGACGTTACCCGTTTAGTAATATAGTTGATTTCAGAGCTCAAGAAAACACTACATCTTCTGAATCAGATTTCTTAATCGCAAGGGGTCCTACATCTTAGCAACAATAAGAATTGTCACTCATAAGTGTGGTAATTTTTCTAAAATTGAGCTTTAAGCTGAATTTCAGGATGCTGTACTGAAATGGTTTTAATTCGAGCTGCTCACGGTTGTAGACAGTTTACTCGACTGACATGGTCTTCTGTTTTGCCAAAACTCATATTTCCAAACTTATCTGATATGGTTCGGTGTACTTTCCAGAGTGTTTTCATGGTTGTCTCAAGCTTTTCGATGAACTGGTTGGAAATTTCCAAACATTGCAAGCTGCCTATACAACTGATATGTCTTCCCCACAGAGGAGTAAAAGCGGAATTCAAAATTCCAGAAAAATTGCAGCGAGTTTTCAGACATTTTGAAGTAGCAAGTGTGAAAACATTATTGCGTGTGTTCCGACCGATCTTTCAGTGATGTTCTGGTGAGCTTTATATGCCGGAAGCCTGTGTGTTTTATGGTAATTATTCACTTCCTGTTTCTGTCGGTTTGGTTTCACACCAAACTGCGCTATCCGTGCTACGTTACAATCTGGTTACCATTTGCTGTACACCGATTACACATCAAACGTGGACTGTCATTTCGCCCATTGTCGTGTGGTCCACTCGTCAGTGCCCTGGTCACTAATATCGATATCAACAGCAGTTCTATGAAACCATTTCAGTGCGAACATGTAGATGATAGTGTTTCCTCTGCTCCTTCTTCAGAATTCATTCATTCAGAATTCACGGTACCTCCCTGTCATCATGATACGTTAGTTATTCATCGCAGCATTACCACCCATAAATAGGGGGACCAAGTCTACTCATTCCTGGGACGTTCGCCACATCGCTAGTAATATAGCCCAGTTATCGTCTTCACAGGTTGTCCGCTTCCACCACCCGGAATTTCCCCAATGACCACATATTCAGTCCTCTCACTTCTCAGAGGTTTCTAAAGGGAGCAAAACTCCAATAGTTCCAACATATGCACCGTTATTCATAGATGAGAAAATTGAGTAGTAATCTTTAGAAAATACGTTGTATGTTAAGGGGTGAGAAACATGTATTAGAGAATGGTGCATATTTCCGCTTTTGTGTGTGCATTACGTGTCTTGTACGCTGCAGTGTACCGTACGCCACCGGTTGTTCCACTGAAAGACAGGGAGCCATAGCCCATTCAGATGAAAGCTTGATACAATTTTTTTCAGAATCTTAGGTCTTAACACTTTTTCACACTGAGAAACATGTTTTTGGAATACAATGCCACGAACAGTGAGGTGGCTTCGTCAACTAAGAATTACAGGTAATGCACAGAGCTTGCAGAGACATGGGCAACTGTTTGGTTCTGTCAATCCAATTCAAAGGCACAACTCACATTAGTTACATGGTTCTGGTTCATATTGAGGTCCTTACCTCTTCGCTATTCGCTGTACAACCCCGCACCTAAAGGTAGTATCTTAGTAGTTATGATTTCCTCATGCTCGCCTCATATTCGGACTCGCATGCCTTTCTTTGATTTGAAACACTGTACGCCAACGGTCGTAACAACGTTGATTTCACCTTTTTCCCGTCTTCATTTCCAGTATGGTCATGGTTCTCATTATCCTGAGCTCTGCAGTGCCTTTATGTAAGTTGATTCAGCATGTTCAGGTCGTGTTTGGGTTATGAGTTTTCTGTGTCCTATCAAGTTGTCATCTTTAAAAGAAGCCTTTGAATTTCCGCATTTTCCATAACCGTGCCTATGGCTCCTCGTTATATCCACCGGGCTACTGCCTTCAGATCGCCATTATTCCTGTACCTGAGGGACAAGCTATCTTCATGAAATATTACTGTCCGGCTACTGTGAGTCCCATGTAGCCAATTCGAAGAGAGAGCTTACACATTTGGATACTTACAACGTACCAGTCGGTGCTCTTTTCAGTTGTATAACGTTTGCACAGGCGTTCGGGTTACGCAGGTCCTACACTGTCTCGGTTGGATCGGATGGTAGCTTGGATGAAGTTGTTGGTTCCTGGCACTGCAGTTTACCAGGTTGGCCTCCTCATCTTAACAGCATCTACGCGAGAAAATACCGTCCTTTTACGCCACATAAAATTAAGACTTTGAATTGGGAGGCATCCATCAAAGCTCCTGTACAACTGGCTTTTGGTAGCATCATTTTATTGGATGGAGGCTTGGACATTCGGGATGGAAATCGCTATGTCACTTCCATGAGCTGTCTAATGCTGACCGAAGTTAACAGTGCCTCAATGATTAATCGCATTCATAAGTTACAACACATTAGTTGTAGGCGAGAATAGTTTGGGTTATCAATTTGTCGAAACCAATAGGTTGGGTTAATAGGAAGAAAGCCTTTTAGAAAGAATGTGCTCATCTACTGCGGTCATAATTTTCCAACCAATTTTCGGCATGCACGTGGCTTTGTAGACAGCGATGTTTGTGTTGTTTACTGTTACACTATAGGGATTGTCTCTGAAATTAGAAACGTGGTAAACCCACTGCAGTTGTCGACCACTCCTCTGTTTTTAGTGTATCATAACTACGCAAGGTCATTGCAATGTGGGTACTGACGGGTCCTTTTGGGAACGCTATGGTTCTTATGAATCTAGACCACTTGGAATCAATATCCTTCCTTTAACTTGTTTTCTGTGCCCTTGTCGGTTTTTAGCACATACTGTAGGACTAGTTCGCTAGTTCTGGGGATCAACCTCGATTACCAATTTGATGTTGTGTATATGTGGATTTCGGAAGGTTAAACTGCTTCTGTATCGGGTGTTGCATACTTTGGCGCACGTCAGCTCCCTTTTCAACTAAGGGTTAGGGCAGATTTTCATTATATGAACGGTATTTTGACGTCCATAACGCACGTGCTATTGAATTGCATTTCGCGTCTGAGGAGTTGAATACGTCAACCTCCTGTCTCATCTTTCGCCTTTTCCGATGAATCTTACTGTCGCTGATAACCACTGGTTACCCTCAACATACCTGTTATATTGGAATGATGATTTTTCACTCATGTTCAGTGTAAGATCCTATTTTGTACACGAATCCCATTAATACACATTCGTTTTGGCTTTAAGAGATGCTACAATCATGTATCGATCATTTGCCTTCGTGAGAAATCAATTGACTTTCACTGTTACATGTATGAAGTTTCGTTTTCAACAGGTGAATGCTCCAGTTTTGTACGCAGGTTTGCTCTGCACATTCAAGATATTATATCCTACCCAGCAATCAGCTCTATGTTTTTTGTGTGGAGTATAGGCGGCACTACAAGCCGCGTTCGTTGATCCACGTGTTATGCATGCCGATCATTAACTAGCACACTAAATGCGGGGTGACATGATCCAGAGGTGAACAGGTTAGAACGTGTCAGATGTGGGAATGAAACCGATTAAAAGAAGTCCGGACGCAGTGGTTGTTGTCCACCTTCTAGGATCCCCCTGATCCATCTTTGCATGGGCAAAAACGTTAAAAAATATGGATGCTAAGAGATGAAAAGAATTTGCGTCCTATCACTTCAATAAACGTTCAGTGGTACGGGTGTTTCAGGGACCTGTGATAGGCTGTCTTTAAGCCACCTTCCATTTCCTTCTTTCTTCTCTTTATTATAGGTCATTATCTAAACAAACTGACGTATTAGCTCGGCACTTAAGCATAGTATTTTCATGCTAGTGTTGCTGTTGAAGGTGAGGATCATAATGACTGCACTGATGTCGTATCATTCTTTTAGCTGGTCCCTTTGTAGCCATAGTGATCTAAAATCGTTCAGCTGTAGCACCCTTTCGGTGCCTAGCTGCCATGCCCACCAAAGGAAGCACGAGGACTCAGATACCGCCAGGTTGCCCAAACCTAGATAGAGGAACTCGAGAGACAGAGGTCGGGTTGGAAGGACGGACCTTCCGGTCAGTAAATTTGCGCTGTAACCACTTGGCCATCTCGCCATACAGTGATCTAAAGAAGGATTTAGTAACCTATGGCTTTTTTTGAGCCATACACATATACATACATATTATAACCACCTGGTGTTCCTTATTCCCTTTCAGTGTACAGAGCAGCTCTTATTCTGCTTCAATCCGTGCCTAATGAAATTTCACTAAAGAATCTGAAAAACAGGTTGGAAAATGTGAGTCTACAGTTTCGTGCACTGTATTTTCATCAGAGCAGGATATCTCTCAGCTACGTCCATATCTCACTCAAGGTTTATTGAATTATTCAGCTTGTTTTAGTGTGTAGTGAAAAACAATCTTCCTCAGGAAACTTCAAATTAGTGCTTTGATGGAATTCGGAAGGAGCCGTATTACCACAACTTGCTGAACATAATTCATTTAGTATTCTTTGATGATGGTATTTGAACCGGACAAATGATCTACTTCGCTTCATCAGCCATGTGTGAGGAGTAATAAGAAGTTCGCCTGTTTTGCTTTTTTCCAATGAATACTCCGATTCGAATGGAAGGCCGCATTGTGTTTGTATGTACCACCTTTATTGCTAAAAACGCTTGAACTGCACATAAGGTCTCGCTTCACTAACTTGTATTGTTGAATTAGTGGGGCTATGTTTATGGTGAGTTATGGTTAAGCAAGTAGATGCGAATTGGTCAACTTACCTATGATTAGTCGGCTGTTTTTCACAACCAAATGTTTGATTTTGCAAATTGCTGGATTCCATTTACGGTATTCTCAGGTCTACTCTTATCTTTCGCTTATGGTAACACGGTTATTTGTTTGTTTCGTTGTGCCATTTGGAACCTTTCGAATGATTTGTCAAAAAACGATGACCCTCTTAGGAAAGAACGCTTTCAAGGAGGAAGTGTCTATGTGTGGCACTCAGACTGTTCTGTTGCTTTGGGGTCGTTTCGCTAATGTGCTATTCATTGGAACTTCTATCATCTGCCATTTCTTTCGCTTCAGATCGATGGGATTCACAAAGTCCACGACTTACATGTCTGGCGGTTACAGAGCAACTGTATAATTGGAACCGTCCATATCAGATGTGTTAGTTTACGTAAGTGATTACTTTTTGCACAATCATGGAGAAGGCTATGCTGTTACACCAGCCGTCTGTTTCGCCTGAACCCAGTGGACACCCCCCATTTGTTGTTACATTTTACACCCCTTGGGAATCCGTAGTTAGCTTTCTGTTGTTCTGCATGTTAATCTTAAATCTTTGGTTTTCATATTTTCTTATATGCTATCTATAGCAATGTTCAGCGACATAGGTTGAATACGATACAAGCCGTCCCTGTTGACAAGTCCTCGACTTGTCATTACAGTGAGGAAAACCCATGTGGTTGAGTAAGAATTCATTACCTCTTATATTGTGGAACGTTTAGGAGATAGTGACTTCTGTCACAGCAGAGGCTTCAAGATCATAGCTAACAGTGCACAACAATCACCTCTCGGTGAATCCCTTGAAATCATCCCAGACCGTTCCTTTTAATTGACAAACACAAACTTCTAAATTAATTGATTCTAAGAACTTTTCCAGGAGCTACTTCACATCCTGATTTTTAGTTTTTAAGATATTCAAGGCATCTATGTATGATGTCTCCAATGGTTTGAACAACCCTTACTACTAAAGGTGTCCTCGTTGCCACAGTCAGCAGTACGCCAACAGTAAATATGGACGCCGAAATTCCGTATAGTTTTGGTGAAATAATAAATAGTAAATGGTAGTTAGTGGTGGACAGCCAAACAAAGTTCGGGAAGCTGGTGCACAACAGCTTTATCTACTTAGGGGAACTGCCGTGAACAAGATGTCCCTACCTGTGAATAACATGGAAGCTAACGCATCTGAAAATAGTATAACAGTGAGACACCATCAACATTCTTACGAGCATTATTTCACGGCAACCTAGTTTCATTAGGAACTGGTTTAATTTGCATACCATGTCTTAAATAGTTTCGCTTCACTTGGACCCCATTAGGAGGGCGAATTTTCATATTATAGCTCCTGGTCAACTAGTCATTAGGTGTGCGATACATCACTTGCGTGGCTAGTTAGTGCTCTAGGTGCACCAGCTTCCCTTGATCTGATGAATTTTTCTCGCTAGTCCGTTGATTCTGGCTGGCTACCGGGCTAGAACACCTGGTTACGGCCAACTCCCGCTATACTTAAAATACACCACTGACTAAATATTTAAAGACAGTTGATATGCGTGGGTCTGGGGGACAAAGTTTCACAAGAGACTGCTGCTTCAGTTGCTTTTTCCGTTTCGCCGCGTCGGTTGATGCCATTTGACGTTTATTATCTCCGCCTGGATGCATTGGTTACATGTCGCAGCTCATTCAGTTGCCAAAATGGTCAACAAACGGTAGTCTTTTGCTCAAAATTTCAAGGAATCACAGGAGCCAGACTAGAGACTACTGACAAATTCGAAATAGCCAATAAAGTGAATTACCACTAGCCGATGGTCCGGCTTCAACAATTTGTTTGACTATTTGGATAGGTTGTAAGTTTTGTGGGTAGTATAGTCCAAGATGCGGTGGTCACGACAACCGAAACGTTGGATTTTAACACCTTATTTCACCACGCTGTGTTTTGATTGTAAACTTTCCATATTAAAACCACAAGATGATTAGTAAAAAATCCTAAAGTAATATTCTGCATTTTGGACCTGCAAGACATAGCGAACCAATAGGTCACTTCTCACACTTTATTTGAAGCATTTTGTGCAGCGATGAACAGCTGTCAGGCCGCCCACAGCATAATTCACCATAGAAAAGGACAACAGTCCTTTTAGAAATCTACTTTGAGGTACTGGATGCATCAACATCCAAGCCTTACCTTCTGTTATCTGCAATTCCTTGCGATTCAACACATACCAAATACGTTCCCTTATGCATGCTCATTCTTCATCCGTTCGGTTAGATAGAAACGATGAGTAAGTAAGGTCCCCACAAGCAAATCAAATTCAACCGTGTGGGGGTAGTGCCTTCGCGAACTCAACCGTGATTATCCCATGCGATATATCTTTGTATGGTTGATGTAAGATGTGATTATTTATTCCCGAAATAACCTATATTTGGGCAGTTTTTTTCCTGGAATTCCGGCTGCCTAAAACCGTAAATTTTCAATGCAGGAAGTGATGTGCCTCACCGTCCCGAGCGTCCTCTTTAACCCAATCAACTTGATTCACTAACGCATGCATGTATCTGTGAATGTATACATTTTCTGTTTGCTCCTTGTTGATTATTACTCTACCATAAAATATATACAGATTGTGAAATCACCATCAAACTCTTGTAATAGCCATCTATATCATGAATCGCAATATCCTGTAATGGCAATAATATTTTAACAAGGTTAACAAGGTCGCGAAGGCTGATTAACTAGGTAACAGTACAATTCTAGCGCTGTCTTAGAAGGATTTTTCAAGATGCTACACGGCGCTTACCAAAAAAGTCTAGCTAGAAAGTGGTTTTCATGAGACCGTTGTCATCAGTGACGTGTGTTCTGATATTTTGCCAGTGACCAAAGCAGAGTTCCGTTCTAAAACTGTCCGAGTTTTCAGTTGTGTCGCACTTAAATACTGCAAGACATAAACGAACCGCCCGTCTGGTGTACAATGAAACATAGCATGTCCTTTTATTCGAAAGGCTGACATTGCGTTTTGAGGTACCGTTTAGGTACGAATGCTGAAACAAGCGAGTTTATTTTGCATTTTCCGCTAGATTCAATGTTTTTTCGGATATAGTTGCGTTTTCCAGTCAGCTTATTACACTAAGTTTCGCATATAAGTTGTATCGTTTTCTCTCTGGGGTACCATACGTGATGCTGTACTTTACCTAATAACTAGCACTAAGTTTATCCGAACAGGAGCGCGGTACCTCACTTTACACGAACAACAGCCGCAAGTCGGCCATTCTCTATGTCACGGATGACATTGTTCTCATTACGGTCATATTTTGAACCCACTTCTTCATCAGAATCTCGTACGATCGGTTCTCAAAATTCGGGTATCGGTGTATACCACGCAGTCTTAAATTATTCGATCCATTTACAAGTAGCTTAATTGTGATGCTTTGATGAAATTTCCCCCTATTTTATTCAGCGAGCTGAAAGAATGCGCATATCATCATCTATCTACCCGTGATTATAGAACCTCCTAGTTCCCCTATTTTCCCCTCATAAGTCCGTGCTCATTGAAAGTCATGTTCCTGAAACAGTGTCTGGGGAATTCATTCTGAGGTTTAATAAAAACTATTTTTAGGCATAACCTTCGCGTGAACACTTATATGCCAGCTTCACGAAATTTCCTCTCTGGAGTCATAGTTCACCGAAGCCGTCTTCTTTACTACTTTCCATCCGTTTCAAAATAAGTAGTTTGAATTCGGAGTAGGAATAACCAACTTATTGTAATGGCGGATGATGTATGCAGTGTTACATTATCTCCTGTGTTTTGTCCACAATCCAGCTCCATTAAACAAAAATACGACTGTGGGATCTCTAATTTTACTACTAGGAGTTAGAGGAATTGTCTTTGCTCTGGTACCATTCGTTCTGATGCGACAAAGTTAGCTCGTTTCTTTTCGCAGGAGTGGTAGATTTTCTTATGGTATTATTCCGTTTTTCTCAACAATGCGGTGTTTTTCTGAACGTTTGGGTTATTGTTTGTTTTTGAAACAAATATATTAGTCTGCATTCATAATTGAAGGACGAACTCACATGTCCCCATTGTAGTACAGTACATTTATTGAAGCTATTGCGAAAGCGATGCCTGGCTTTTCCGTTAGGTTATTCCCCTTCTGTTATCCACGACCTGTCACTCATCTGACATTTAAAGCACGGGGTAAGAAACGACGTCTAGGTAGTAGGACTACCGAATCCGTTGCAAACAACAAAACTGTTGAAGACGAGTACGATAAACTGCGTAATTTGCAGTTTAAGGTAAAGTATGTCCTGTGCAATGTTTGGGAGTTTTCCACAGGAATGCGATTCTTTCCTTCGAGGTTGCTTCATTCGTCGGTCATTCCAGGATTCCAGCCAAATTTGGCACTGTCTATTACTTTATCTTCAGCAGGAGAACATGTGTGCATTGCTTAGTCGAATGAAGCAAACTCGTCCATGGTCAGTCTTCCAGGGGGATCTAGGTTTTATCCAAACTGTTCCCACTGGATTCGTTAAACTCAGTGTTTTATGAGATGCTGAACGAATGAAAATCGATCCGCCAGCAACTCGCCATGTCGATGTTAACCAGAGAAGCTAAAAAATGAACACTATTTTACGCTCAGGCTTATCAAAAGGAAGCTTTATTTTGCAAAGCTTTTGGTGACTCGTGGAAAATCTGATAGCCCCTGGTTCTTCAGTCATATCATTTAATCCAGCAATATTTGTAGTGGTTGGAGGCCCGACGCTTACGTGTTTTTTCTTGAATGTGAAGACGCAGAAATAGGTGTTAATAAGAAGGCTAAATAGATACACTTCGGAGGCTAGCATTGCATATTAGAGCATAGTACCTCGCTGTACTCTTTCCCTGGTCCTTTACTGAGTTTGAACATTGGATAGGCAGACCTGGCAACGAACTATGGGAGCCATAACCAGCAAACGCAATAGGTGGAACAACTATCTCCTCTCTGGATGGGGATCTCAGGGTCGACTCTTCAGTAATGACATCGAGAGACACGACCTGGTCACAAAAACAGTGACGCTACTGCATTGACGCTACTGTATTGTTTTCAATGTGTAACTGCCCTGTTTTTCAGTTTATCAGGTAGTCAGAGCGGTACAACATAAAATAACCCATTAGGCCGCCAGGGCCAGCGCTTGGCCATTCTCTTGTTAGTCTCCTGATTACCTGTGGACGAAAAGGTAACAGCTAGTACACGGTTTATAGCTGACTAACTGGACTGTATTGATCGTTCGATATACCGGATATATTTTTTGTGTTCAAACTGTTATTAAATTCCGCTTGTGTCTGCGACTTATGTGGCCACCTAGCCACCATTATGTGCGCTGCATATGAAGCCTGTACACTTTTACGAACATCAACAAACGTAAACTTG